GAGAGAGAGAGAGAGAGAGAGAGAGAGAGAGAGAGAGAGAGAAGTGCTTGGCGCCACCTTTATCACGAGTTTGTTTATTACACTTGTTACGTGTGTCGTTATACTATCTACCGTTCTACTATTCTTGGCGTGGATCGAATGTGCCTAGTCGCGCAAGTTGGAAAAAGATGACCCTGCGGGATGGAATAAAAAAAGTGAGGCGTCGCTTTCCGAACCGGTGATCCACAATGAAGACCCTGCCGTTGTCGGTGTCGTTATTTTTCCTTGAGATAGCTTGGCGTTGAATAAAATCGCGTGGGTTGCCTAGTGCTGTCAACCCTGTCGACGATCAATGAGATTTAAAACTCGCGGTCGCCGGTGGCCCCGCGAACACGTAGATCTTCGTAAAATTTCTCTCATCGCCGACCGTTTTGCACGCGAATTTCCCATTTTAATAAATGACGAGATTAACCTTTAGAGGGTAGGAAGCCATTATAGACGAGAGAGGATAAAACTGGACATAGAGCTTAAATTCAAATGCACTCTGGGGTATATTAATACCATTAGGACCGCGTTAAAGAAAAAGATTAATTTTATGTGTTTATATAATTTTCTCCAAAAATAGGAAAAGTGATTTAACTACTGTAGTAAGAAGTTAAAATAAAAGAAGAGGACTTACGTTAAAAGAACGTTTATCGAAGTATTTAAAATTTAGGCACAAATGCAGATTTGGAACCAATTTTATTGGACTATCAATAATTATGTAAAATGCTCAAATTGTTGCTAGAATGTTAAAATTTCTTGTCATATTGTCAATATTTTGCTCATCATGTTTGAGTTTCCTACATAACTATTTTAATAGAATATTAACAAAATTGTTTTTCAATCTGAAATTGTTTTTAAATTTACCCTGAAAAAAATATTTTAAATAGAAGCTATACTGAGAGAAAAATGTACTAAATTTTGATAAACAATTGTTTGAATAGTAGTAATATAACATTTATTTACGGGAAAAATTGCTAAATAAAAAATAATATTTAAATCAAATTAATAGTTCTTGTACTAAATAAATATATCTTTATATTTGATAAACATTTAACTAGTATTATTCAAATAAAGCTTATAAAAATTTTTTATGTATATTATAATACGTTTTTCTTTCAATGTACTATGACATTGAAACAGTGTTATATATCTTGAAGCAAGACAATGAGTTGTAATAGATCAAGGAAAGCTACAAGATTTAAAAGGACTCCTCTAATGGTTAATCCCTTTAAGTCGCTCTGTTAAGACGGTAGGAGTTCGATCGATCTACTCGCGAAAAGCGAGAAGGAAGTGCGGATTTCGGTGGAAATGAGTTTACGAGTGGATTCGCGGCGAAGAGCTCTAAATTGCGTTACGTCATTCGCCTCCGATTTCACGCACGAAAGACGTTTGCCGCGCGGCTATCGGAGCCTCGGTCTATTGACAGAGTCGTGAATTCTTGGCAGGCTGCAGCGTAATTAGCCGACTGTGTATGCCGGCTCGCCACACTTTATCTCGCAGCCGGTCGGTGCGAAAGAGTTATGCCACCGTCGAAAATATCCCGGACAGCGCGCTCGCGGGTAACACCGGTGGAGGTGTTAAGCGAGGACGTGTTAACGCCGTGCTTTCGCTCGTCGCGGCGACGTAAACATCGTCACGTAGACGCGAGATCCAGCGGCTACGCACTGCGTTGAGAGTCGATCGGCCACCGTGATCGGTCGTCGCTTGAGTTTCACACCGCGGAATCCGGGCTACAAGGACACGCGACAACGACGACGAGGACAAGATCGAGGTCGAGGTCGAGAATGAGGAAGAATATGTGCTGGCTGTGATCGATAGAGACTTCGAACGCCATATATATGTTGCGCGAATTTCCTTTGCCGAGGGATTCTCTCCGGGAGTCCTTTAAGAATTATAGCAATCAGTCCATTTAAAATATATCGTAGCTTTTAATTTCGACGCGCGAAATGTTGTTCCGACGTCAAACGAGCGAGCCGACCGGAAGTATCTCCAGGAGCTCGGATCAAGCCACGAGCTCCGGAGTCCTGACGAGCTGGTATACGAAGATCAAGAGACGGCACACCTTCAGCCCGAGATCCTTGCTGAAACGGACTTTGGTATTTTTCCCGCTCTCTTTTCTTTATATTCAGACTTTACTCGATCAATAATATACTGGAAAGAGAGTCTGGTTACATTAATTGGAATTTTTATTGAAAAATGGACAAGTCAAACAATCTTCCATAATTTTTCGTAAATGCTCCATAAATCTTCGGTCGTGAAAAAAACGGGTTGAAAAAGGGGAAAAGATAGTACGTTACGACAAACCATTTCCCAAAGATATGAAAAAAAACCGTTAACTTTAGCATTTGATTCTTTTTAAAGCTTCTTTGAGAAACAAAGAAATCTCTCAAGAGAGATTTTTTATAATATATAATGTCACTGTGACTTTTAGCGGTAATAATTTGAAGTGGACCTTTTTTCCATGAAGAAATTTGTTGTCTCCTATAGCAACAATGATGATCTCAAAGACTGCATTTGGAACGTAATTTTACTAATTTCTTTCTCTTAATTTACAGTTGCCGGTGGTGGATCCCTTCCTAGAGAAAGTCTCATTGTCCGATCTTGGTGAGTTCCACTTACGATTCTTATTTTCTTGCAACCGATCTTCCAAGATGAGATTAGAATGCTCGTTTACTCACAACTTGTAAACTGATTCAATCGACTGGATAAAAATCAACTCGGTTAATCTAGTCTGAATGCTTGTAATCAGAGAAACACACGCAAGCTCTTAAGCCATAGAGTCTCCTCATATACGTGAGCAATTAAAATGTTAATTTGGATTATATTGATCTTGGAGGGCTGTCTATTACGCGAATAAAGGCTGCGATGTGTATAATATGTGTGTGGCTACGTATATGTGTTTGTATATACGCGCCAAGAGGGGAAATTTCCCTTTATGAAGAATTGATTTAGTATCAAACGTTTGACGTTGTTATAAATTTAATGTCGATCAAAGACTACGGATTTCAAGAGGTCAATTTTGCAATGCGAAAAATCGTTGAAGTTCTTGGAGTGCGCGTACCATTTTATTTTTTCCCCTTTCAGTTTAATTAAGAATCGTAATATTATGTTTGTAAGTTTATATCTTTTGGGTGTAATGCATCACTCCATTAAAATTAATTCTCTCGAATAGATGGAGAGTTTTAATAGAAAAATGATACGTGCACTGTGTGCAATGTGAGCAGCAAGCGGAACCCGAGATGTGTGAAGCTCCACGTGTTTTCCGAGTCACATATGGCTTTCCCCTTCGAAATTGTGGTACTAGGTCTTCCGACTTGTCCTAGTGTATGGTGGCGATCGATGAGCTCCCGGGAGACCAGCTAGCGTTAAGAGCGAGAGGGAGGGATTCGCGATACAGCTTCACTTCGTCGTACGGCGCGCTCTGCATTCTACGTCGCACTAGCACGCTCCACCTATCTAGGTCTAGGTCATGGGGCAGAGAGAGAGAGAGAGAGAGAGAGGGAGGGGAGGGAGGACTGCTAGGTTCGATAAGTTTATGTTCATTACATGTGTTTCTCTACGAATTCCTTTAACATTACACTAGAAAAAAAAATCAGGTTGCATCAATTGGAATTTTAATCGAAAATGGACAGATCAGAATTGTCTAGTTGATTCTATTAATTTTTAGTTGAAACAATCAGAATCCTGATTGATTTGATCCAGAATTTTCTGCTTTGTTTATTTTGAATCAGAAATTGTTCTCGACGTATGGATTGCAGGCTCGTAGTTCTTCATACTTTTGTTTGCGCGAGTCCATTCAATTGAAAACCCTTCAGCTGTATGTCAAGATTAAATGTAGTATTCACAAGCGCACGTGTAGGTTTTACGCGCAGGCCTAAAAAGGACGGCTAGAAGATATAATAAAATTCGAAAGGGTAACGTAACGTGTCAATTCAATAAAGATAAAACGAAAGAAATACACTGCCTATCCTATCGATATAGATTAACTTAATCTATACGCGTAGATTAACTTAATCTTGGTTTAATCTTTTATTTTTTTCTAGTTCTAACACTGAAAGAAAAATGTTTGGTATTTGCGATTATACATCTTCATTTTAATAGTTATTGATAATATAACATTAATAATAATAATAATTATATTTATAATCCTACATACACCAAAAAATATGGTTTTCTCCGAAAAAGACTATAATTTTATAGAATTATAAATACAATTATTATTGCTAGCACATTATAGCAGTAATAATTATAAATGAAGTTCTAAATTATATTATTTTACTATATAATTATATTGTATATAGTAGTCATACAAATGCTTTTTTTCATAACGAAGAATTAGAAAAAAATAAAGAGTAAATTAAATCAAGATTGAAATTAATCTACATTAATGGAAATGAAAGTCATTAAATCGTGGATAGGACAACGATCCATTAGAATGACGTTCTAGTTAACGAATCTTGTCTAAAAAATAGTGAGTACTGATATCAGATCAATAAGTATTTTTACGTCGCGGTGTTGAATTAATATTATGAAAAAAAAAAAAAAAAAAAAACGTCCTAACGAAAGGAAACGATGCGAAACTTGGCGCGCTTCGCTCTTTTGGCAAGACATACCAGCGACGGTTATTCTTGGCACGATGGTTTGACGACGATGACGATGAAGAGAAGGAGAAAGCAAAAACCAACGCGAAAGCAAAAGAGAGATAGCCGGAGCAAACCGTTAACGATGGATCGACTGGGCAGTCGTGATGTTCGCCAGCAACGAGGCTGACGATTCGTGGGAAATCTGCGTGGAGAGCAACAAAGAGATCGGAGATTCGTCGTACAATTGGAGAGGGGGACGAGAGAAAGACTATTGGTGAAAAAGAATCGAGAGTTGCCAGGATATTTGTTGATAAATTAGAAAAAGACTCGACCTTTCGTATATCGTCTAATGCCGCAATATTATTACGAGGCCAAGATAGAAGCATGAGTAACTCGTGCGACGTATTCGTTTCTCTTGGATCAAAGAACCAGGGGAAGATCCCGAGGTACCTGAGGAGGAAGATATGGCAGTTGCGAGCATTTCAAGCAAATTTTCGTTGATACTACGAGACAGGATGTTTGTTGGCCACCAGAGATCGACGCGGTGATGTTAAATAATGTTGGCCTTGCACTACTATTCGGACTCCGAGAGCGTTCGCGCCACTTTAAGACAGGTCGCGGCTGTCTGGTGGAGCCAAGACGATGATCCCGTATACTCGAAGGACCTCATCAAGGAGTTCGAGGTGGAGAACCCGCCCCTCGAGGACGAGCTCGCTTGGATCCTCTCCAAAGGTACCGCGACGTAGTACGATCATAGCGAGTTGTCGACAGCGCTGGGGATGAGGTACTATGTTTCATAAATATAGGTTGCGTTCAGTAGAAAGACGCAGCTTTGAGACTTGTAAGATTTTTTTTTATAAATGATTGGTTTTTGTTTTCAATGCATTATTGGATTGAAATATATAAATTAATAGGCAGCATGGAAAAAATAGTTATGCAATTGTTACATGTTTCTTTAATATGACTTGTTTATACTTGTTTAGATTCTTGAGGAGCTAAGGACAAGAACCTATTACATTAACTTTTCGTAGTCCAACCAGGACTTTGAAGACATTTGCACTTTCGAATTATTCTGCCTTAAGTTTGGACACGTAAATAAAATGAGAAACATTTTGAGTCATATTATTGTAAAATCATATTCTTGAATGTTGAAAGAGTGTATTAGAATTTTTTCAGATTTTTTAATCTTTAAAAAATACATACACAACCAGGCGTCAGTAACCTGATTGGACTAGAAAAACAGTGAAAAAACTATTGGTTTACGGAGGATTAAAGAATCTTACAATATTTGCAAAGCTGCTTTTCCTGCTAAGCGTAGCTCATGTTTGCGAAACGTACCTAATCGATGAAGTTTCACATTGTTCTTGCACTCCACCGTCTCAGTTAATTCAATCAACCGAATCACCTAGTCGAGATCAGTCACTAGTGACTGATATGAATGTCAATATTATCTCAGTTCTAGGTCGGAGTTTCCATCGAAATGCTTGTAATAGGTGTTCTACTCTATCAGAATGTTTTCGTAACGAGAACAAGCAGGATCGACTCGAAGGAATTCGCAATACGATTTTTTCATCCGATAGATCGTCCCGACATGATATTTCCACGAATCGTACACGCGTGTTGTGAAGTCTCCGTTATGGGAAACAGAGGCTGCGGTTTCGAGTGGCTGATACATTCGTTCCGGATGTGCCTACGTGCAACACGATACACACACACATCGATAGTACTTTCAACTTGCTTTGGTCGCCGCCAGCTGTTCGTGATTCCTTGCCGCGTTCTCCTTGCGTTCTCCGGTTAGTCGCACCGTAGTCGTGTTCCCTGGTCTGTCTAACGACCAGATCGCAGACGCCTGCGTGATTATGAAAGTGTCATTGAATATTTTACTGAAGCGATCGCTGTGTCAATGTGAAGTCTGTTGTTGTTATCATGTCCGTCTCTCGTTTACCGTTTCTGAACACGTTTTCCTTTGACGGCGTATAAAAAACAACTACGTCCCAGTTCGATAATTTCCTTCTTCTCTTGATTTTCTTCTCAGTAATTGAAATACCGAGTTGTGTTATTAATTCTGAATCGCATTATTCGTGTTATAATACAATTAATTTTAATCTAAATCTGTTGAGTATATAGATTTAAATGCATTTATTTTATCTCCATTTTGCGCTTGATTTAATTCTCAGAAGCCGGAACTCTCCTTTTTTTCTTATAACGTCACATAGCTAATAAGAGATAATACATAGTTATAAAAAAAATTATTCTTCTGATGCAATTTTCTACTATTTTCCTTGTAGTATTATTCGTCGCTTCTAGCAAGCAACAATATCTTATCTGCTTACAATTACCGTGGCCCTTTATCTATTACGTGTATTTTTAAATATTGAACCTGCTATCAATGATATTTCACGGGTATAGTCTCTCTTCGGACATATAATCGAACTTCCGAGACGGTTAATCGCAATTTATCGATCATTTAATCAAGTTCCATTACTGCGTTGTATAATATCGTTAACCCATTCGAACTTCAAATTGGGTCACATATTGAGATCGGTGTTATATTATCAAAGTGCGTGTATTAACTGAATTTCAGCATTGACGTTTGCTCCAAATGAAAATTACCTATCAAAAGTGATATTGCTGTAAAAAAAAAAAAACCGAAAGTATTTTTCTGAAGTATTTTTCCAATTTCATAGAAAAAACCGTGGAGAAAAAACCGTGTGACGCTGCTTTTTCAAATGTGCTCACATTTCAAAATTACAGTGCAAAACTCTCAATTTATAGGTTATTAATTAAACATTTGCATTATATACGCAAGCACTGGGATAAGTTGCGTTTGATACAAGTTACCGCATATAAGTTTTAATAATCGCCCCGACGAGATCTCCGCGCGAAAATGCTTCGTCGAAACCAGAAGGCTCTTCTCTACTGCGAACTGTTTGGACTTTCAGAGGAGGACGAGTCGCAGATCTTCGTCAAGTTCTTCAAGTTCCACAAATGCTACGACCTAATACCGACCAGTGCCAAGCTGGTCGTCTTTGACACTCATCTACTCGTTAAAAAGGCCTTCTTCGCTCTCGTCTATAATGGTAAGTTTACTTTTTCGCCTAAGATTAAAAGAAATTTGTGGCTCGTTGTGCTTGAAGATATCGAGATATTTTCAGGGGTGAGGGCCGCACCGTTGTGGGACAGTTCCCGGCAGCAGTTCGTTGGCATGCTGACTATAACGGATTTCATAAAAATACTACAGATGTATTATACCAGTCCGTCGGTGACAATGGACGAGTTAGAAGAGCACGAATTAGATACATGGAGAAGTAAGTCTTCTTCTTAAAATTTTAAAAAAGATAGTAAAATAACAAATTTTATGTATAAAATTAATCTACAAGCTATCAACTACAACTATAAAAATTATATCTAAGTTTTGAAGTATTTTGTTTAAAATATAAAAGTAAACCTGTGCCTTCTGACGATTGACAGAGGAAAGTTCAAAGTTTTTTTTTACCTACAATTTAGAATTTTTATAATATTAATCATACAAATAGTACAACCAAAAAATTTCCGTTTTTCTATTATAAATGATCCGACTGTAGTCCAAAGTTAATATTGTATTGTATGTTAATATTGTATTTAATTGTACGTAATTGAAACTAAATTATTTTACAGTTTTAATTAAATAAGATAATTCCCATATATTCGGTCAAAACGGATCTTACTTGGTGCTTAAATATACATATATCTGTGTGTATATATATATATATATATATATTATATATATTATAAAACAAATATAGAAAGAGGGCAATGAGCCAAAATATCGTTAAAATCTTTTAAATTATAATCTAATATATTGCGAAGAATATCACGTAATTATGGCGTTTCGTCCCAGCTTCCACTACTGGACTCATCGGTAAGGTATTGTAGTGGAAGCCTACCTTAGACGCCTGTTTAAGTTATTAGATCGAGAATCTATATATACAGATATACGCGTCTCCAAGCACTTGCGAGAATTTTTGCGAATATCTATAGACCTCTGATGGCGAGTCGACGTAGTAATATTCTTCGCAATATATTTATTTAAAGTAATATATGTATTACCCTCCCACCCCCCCTCCAACTTGCGCGCCGAACAATCGTCGGTCTTGAAACGCAACTCAATCTGAAAATTTCCCCCAAATTGCGCGCCGAACTAACGTCGGTCTTGAAACGCAATTCTAATAATCTGAAATAACCTCCCCTTAATCAAATTGTGATTTTAAACGCTTCATTTCGCCCGCGTGAATATATATTATATATATATATATACACACTTCTGTAAATTGCGCATTGAAATTTTTCTCGGACTTGAAACGCAATCATTAGCAGAATCAGAATAGTAGTATCAGTTGACAAGCAATTTAATAATTTTTATTGCTAATAAGCTAATAATCTTTACAAGAATATTAATATATTAATGAGAATTTTAAATCTGCAAATAATTTTATTGTAAAATATTACCTCAGTCGAGGTTTGAACTTCCTAGGTTTATTAGCATAAAAAAATATTAAATTGCTCGTCGATTTAATAATTATAAGTTTGATTCTGTTCGTGATTGTATTTTTTGACCGAAAAAGATTTCAGTACGCAATTTAGAATTCAGCTATATATGATGTATATAAATTCTGCACACACAAGAATATTTAAGTACTAAGATCTGCTTTGACCGAATATAGCAATTCTTTTATTTAATTAGATTTATTCTCATCGATTCAAATACGCATTATATTATTTTATTGTAAAATAGTTTAATCAACTGTGTACATTGGTTTATTAAATTACAATTCAATTAAGATCATGTTCCATTTAGTGTTTGCAACGCATGGAATTATCTAATCCTTGTTGTTCATCAAATGTTAAACAAGGACAAATGATGCTTGTGAGCGTCAAGTGAAATGCATTCTATGTACATTAATTCTACATAGAGTGCTTGAACTTGTAGTTGTTATCTTTGTAGTTACCATTACTATGGTTTTCTTTGGATATGGAAGATGGCTCGTGTCGTCTCGCAAATAGAATTATTAAACTATAGTATGTCCTGTCGGATAGCAACAAATGTATTTGCAATATCGTGGTATTATATCCAGGAAATTATTGATTTCCAGAGGTCTTAAAGGATCAAGTCCACCCTCTTGTAAGCATTGGGCCGGACGCGTCGTTATACGAGGCTATCAGGACCTTAATACAAAACAGAATTCACCGATTGCCTGTGATAGATCCCGATACCGGAAACGTCCTTTATATCTTGACGCATAAGCGAATACTTAGGTTTCTTTTTCTATATGTAAGTATATGTGTATCTCTCCTTTCAAACAAATGACATAATACTAGCGTGAATTTGTTGTAATTCGTTGCTATCGGCAGATCCACGAGTTACCGAAACCATCTTTCACCAACAAAACGCTGAGAGAGTTAAGGATAGGTACTTTCGAGAATATAGAAACAGCTACGGAAGAAACTAGCATAATTTTAGCGCTGAAAAAATTCGTGGAAAGGAGAGTTTCAGCCTTGCCGATTGTCGACTCCGAGGGGAAGTTAGTGAACATCTATTCAAAGTTTGATGTCATTGTAAGTTATATTTAAAAAAACATCTGCAAGGTATTGTACTGTATGTTATGCAAGTGCTAATTTAAACATATTGTTTTTTTTAGAACTTAGCAGCAGAAAAGACATATAACAATCTAGACGTTTCGCTGCGCGAAGCAAATGAGCATCGTAATGAATGGTTCGAAGGTGTTCAGAGTTGCAAATTAGATGAGACATTGTTTACTATAATGGAAAGAATCGTCAGAGCGGAGGTAAGAGAGCGTTTTTTTTTTTCAATGAGCATAATCTTCCAGTCTATATGATTGTTGATACATTTTTGTCTTGCATATTTTTAGGTGCATAGGCTAGTAGTGATCGATGATGATGATAAAGTGATCGGTATAATATCCCTCTCCGATTTGCTCTTCTACCTCGTTCTTAGGCCTTGTGGTGAGTAATATTTTTTAACATGCTTGATCAATAATTGTCTTCGGTTCATTTATAATTAAAGTACGTCATATTAAAAAGTTTCTACTTTTTCATGCGACTTAAATCGTTTTTTCTTTGTAAAACGTGTAATATTATTTTTATAATAAAATCGAATGCTTCAATTTTGATTTAATAAAGTACAGCGTACGTTTCAACTTCTGAGTAAATACGTACTTCTTGTGGAGACTCTTATCATGCTAATTCTCTGTTGACTTTAGGTGAGGATGGCAGTAGCAATAAAGGTAGTTCTATATCATTGCGAGCGCAAGATTCTCTGCTGTCGAAGGCTCCTAGCTCCGCGCAGTCGGAAGCATCGCTCGCCGACGGCGAAACTGAGCAAGATGTCGCGGAGACGACGGATCGCAATCAGTCTGAAGAAGCGCCGGCGACACCTAGTCCACCGCTGAGCCCAGTCACGTCGGACATTTCGGAACCTCAGTCGACACTAGTGAATCAAACTCAAGAGGCGACGTGGCGGGACGTGATAAACATTTGTGTCTCGGGCGTTTCGGGTGGGGAATGAGACGTTGCCGTTTTCACGTGCCGCCATGCACGGATTTAGACTCCGAACTGTATTGACCGCTGTTTTTAATCGCAGCGGCGGACGAATAACATAACGACTGCATATTTGTACATCCTTTGTTGTTATAGCTCGTGGTTCTCCGCGAGTTCGCAAGTTAATCAATGATACGCGCCGCAGGAGAGGAGGAGCAGGATGTCCCGTTTGAGAGATATTAGATGTGGCGCGTTAGAAGTTCGCTGAACGTGACGTTATGATGAAATAAACACGATGCAACAGAGAAGTTCGCTGAACGTGACGTTATGATAAAATAAATACGATGCTCTGTATAGTGTATAAAATCACTTAAGCTTAATTTTTTATGGTACAAACGCTACACAGTCACGCATTAGACGTTCGAGCTTTTCGCCAAGGACAGTAGGTAGCTGCGTCATTATTTGCTCAGAATGCGATTCTCCGCGCCCTTCTATAATCGAGCATGATCGGGAAAGAAATGACGAATTTTGAAGAAACGAACTTTTTTTGGAGATATGACAAAATCTTGGAGAGAAAGGATGTTTTCCAATAAGAAAGTTGACACCAGTGAATCGTTACAACTTTGTTGTTTGCCAATGTTAAATAAAAAAAGATGAAATAATTCACTGTTATACTGTCATTTGTCTTGTTGAAAAATATCTAAAATCGCAACTTAATCATGATTATATATATTCTTTATGCAAATTGTATTCACCCTTTGTGAAATGAAGTAACGTAGATACTTTCCTTTTGATCTTGTGTATAATTAGGATATGTTACAATTTAAAAAAAAATAGTATCCAAGAGTATTTCATGATCGACAAAAATGAATGCCTTTCCTCATTGTACGCGCGAGATCTTTTAAATTTTTTTTCTGAACACGCTATATATCACCGACTAATGTCTCTGATATCTTTCTTACATACTCATGTATAAAAATCATTTTTTTTTCTTTTATTTCTACTGGAAAGATGTATTAGAGAGATATCTAATCTCTCTCTCTTAATTATTGATTTTGCATAATAAGTAGATCCATTTTAACACCGCTCTATACGTGAATAGACATGATTCTTTTAAGGTTTCAGACAATTTTCATTGATTATGTAGAAGTGACATCATCGAGTATATCAAACTATGTATTATTAATACAACTACGTATTGTTAAAGCAAGATACAAATTATTTCGGATTATATCTATACATCTGAAAGATTGCCTCTTTCTTGTCCTTTTTTTTTTCGATATTTCATTTTTACTGTATTGTAAAAGTCACGCAAATATCGAGGAGTAAAGTTCTGTACAAAAATTGCAACTTTGGCTTTTATACAAGTATAAAAAGTAAGATTCACAGAACTCTATTGAAACAATAAGACAAAATTATATTCTCAAATTAAAGTAATCCGCTAAAATAATTTTATTATGATACGACTATAGTTTTTCTTGAACATTTATGAAAAATAGATATCAAAGTATATGAACTAAAATTCACACGAAATTCTTATATACTTATGTCCGCATAAATAACAAAAATTGAAAGAATCGACGTGATATACTCGATTATTAAAGTTATTCGATGAATCGGATAAAAATACTCGAGTTTTAATGTGATATTTGACCAAATTTTATTGTATAATCATTGCTGACGATACGGGGACTGATATAAGTAACAACCGAAAAAAGATTTTATAATTATATCGTGAATCGTCTTAATTAAGAATACTAACTTATGACTTATGAACGAAAATACATTCTTTGATCTATTAATTACTTTATTAATGAACAGTATATTTGAAATTAATTTTGTTTTCATTGGTTGTATGTCGAATTCTCAGAGTATAACAAGTAAAAAAAGCCTCTGTATTATTATATAAATCTAATTGTAATTACTATTTACTCTCGTCATATTGTGAAGAAAATTATAATACGACGGAGTTTCGTGGAAATTTGTATAGTATCATTTTATACTACAAAAATTCTTTAATGGATCGAGAAAAACATTCCTTCATAAAGATACAACTCATTAAGCAAGATATTTTTCCAAAGCAATTCTGCATAATCAAATTAAAGTATCAAGAAAAGCTTTAAAATTATAAATTGTCTTTCAGTTGGAATATAAATTCGAAACGTTCAACACAGATCATAATCTCTTTTTTTTTCCTCATATAGAAATGCAGGTGACGGTAATTACTCGATTTTGAAGGGAATAGTGCCTGTAAATGTAGCAAATGTATTCCTAGAGACACGTTCATTGAGGAATACACGTATATAAATATACATATATACTATCTGAGATGCAAGCGCAGTTGGATTAAGCAAAGCTAAACATTAGTATTAATTAACAGGAAGCGTAGTGTGAACGAAGATTTTTGTACAGCTGAAAAGTACTATTTAATATGCTGTAGGCGCGCGAGCGCATTTCTTTTTTTTAGTACAAAATACGTTGCAATCATTGCGAGTTGCCGCGTTCACCTCTTCTTCTACTTAAAGATACTAAAGATTACGCTGTAACATACCGCAGCGTGTACCGCGCACTTAGCTTCGACATAACTTGTTACTTGTTGAAAGCACAATAGAAATTGTCGAAGAATATATTTAGCTTCTCTTCATTCTACATAATATTAGAGAAACGAGAATCAAGAGGGAAATAAGCGATTGAATTCTGTACGCGCTGCATCAAAGAACCAAAATACAAGCTCTATCGAGATGTGGTATTAAAATATAAATAAACTGTACAATAAATAATATAAAAGCTTGTGCATTACGCATAGTCATAACAAAGCGACATTAGCGTATTACCCGTATTCCCTGTTCGATCTTTGTTGTCCCTTTTTCAATATTTAAAATGAGAAAACAGCTTGCCGAGTAAAAAATATATACTGTGATAGAAATGTTTTATTTAATGAATGCCTAAATTTCTGTCGTTTTAGATTAGATTTTTCTAATATCATTTTTTAAATGACAGTCTGAATAATATTATCTGTTCATTATTTAATACGCGTTAGATTTTACATAGAAAAACTTTTTGTTTTTAGAAATTTAGGAACATTAATAGTTACGCATTCTGCGTAAAAACATTTTTGTTAAAATAAAAAGTATACTTGGCTTTTTTTGTTTTTTTAGGCTGGGTTCCACCTTTCGATAAACTTCAACTCACTATTTTACTCTCTTATGATCTTTTGTTTATCCAATAGGTAAATTACCAGTAGTTTATCTAAAGATAGAACAACCAGCTTTTAGATTTTTAGATGCTTAACGCCACAGTTTTCTGCATATTTTACAAGATTTTATTAAGAACAATAAACAGCCTACACAGTCAGAAGTGATGAATCTTATAAGCGTTTTACCTGAGCGGATTTCTCTTCTCCAGGAGAAGATGAATTGGTGCAAAAGTTCAACCAAAAAGAACAGGCCTTATATTCTACTATTGATTGATGTTACATGTTCCACCAATAGGAGAGCATACGACGTCATTAATCCAACCTAGGTTGGTGTAAACTCGGATCGACGCTATTAAATAATAAATTGTATGATTGATAATAATGAAAAAACGTAAAAAGTAGGGAATTAAAAAGAAACTTTTGCAATATACATTTTTAAAAAAGATTGTCTAAAATTTTTTTTTCATATAAAAATGTATTTTATCCAATACTTTTTATTCAAGATATTTGGATTAATAAACAAATCTTAAAATAATCTTGAAATAACAAATAACTCTAACTACAGCTATGAAAATTACACAAGCAGTTTCATGAAAGAGAGTATCTCCCTTCGATTTTAATGAGCTTAAATATATTGTTTTTTTTTTTTTTTAGACAAAAATAAGGGACACAAGGTATTGTTTTATAAAGATTCAATCACACTTTTAGAGAATACAACACTTCTTTAAAAAAAAGTTTTCTTTTAAAGAAAATATTATCAAAACTGTAGAGAAGAAAAAAAAGTTAAATAGCAAAATTATTTATAAAATTTTATTTATTTATAAAAAATAAAAACTACAATTTTTTAAATATGTAATTTTTAAATACTCTTAAAACCATTTAACTTTTATTTAAAACATTTTTTTCTATTTCTTTCAATGATATTTGCTTCAAAAGATAATAATCGATATTCTTCAAAGGGATGCTGTATCTTGTAAGTGGGCCTTTATAAAAAAAAATTAATATTTTTCTTTAAAATATAACATATTCAAAGCTCATCAAAATCCGAGGAAGACACTTCCAAGGAAACTTTGTAAATTCTAAAGCGTCCTATTTAAAGTAAACAAGTGAACCTTCGCTTTACAGCGATTGACAAAGGAAGGTTCAAAGCTTTTTTACCTACAATTTAAAACTTCATAATAGTACCATTTGTACAGATTGTATAAACATTCAAAACTGTTTGGTTAGGATCCAAATGACCCATTGCTGTAGTTGAGGGTTAATTTTCTGTACCGTTCTCGTATCCCATTTCTATACAAATATCTGATCTCATTACTAAACATGATAATTTCAATGTTAAATAAATCTGCAATATAAAATGTAATATAAATCAAACATTTACCTTGTACGCTGTAGTATTTCAGTAAATTAAAATACAAAACTTACGGATTTGAGACATTCTTTTGTATGGATATGGTGTATCCGCAGATATCTGTCAAGGCTGACACTGGCGACGTACGGATTGGTTTTGCTACAAGCCACTCCGGTTACACCACCGATAAATCCTTTGTACGTGTTTAGCACGGTGCCTGGTTTTCTTAGATCGACGAGATTCAGCTTGCCTTTAGTTGAGCCCACTATGATATGTCTTTAACAATATGATAAAATATTGTGATAGATTTTTGTATACTTATTTCAAATGATGTTTTAAAGTAACAATAATTTTATACACGTGTAGAAATCTTACTTTTCTTTCGGAGCGATATCTAAGCAGGTCCAAGCTTCATCTTGTACCGTCATATCGATTACAGGACGTCTTTGAGAACGTGGATCATACAGGTGTATCTTTATGAAATTACATATGTCAATAATAATGATTGTATTTTTACAATCAAATAGTGCACAAAACTAACTTTACAAAGAAAAAAACAAAATTGCGTTCCTTACATTCCCATATTTACTGACTGTGACTGGTAGATTTCCTGGCAAGAAATTTATGTCTGATATTGGAATAGTTCTGCGTAAAGACAGCCAGTCGTGCGAAAGATTCTTTGCAGAGAATATCGATTTTTGCACATCTAGATCGTACACTCTTAGCCTATTATCTGCCTCTCCCCCGGTTGCTATTAAATTGGTGTGCTCGTGTGAGTGGCACATTCTATTCAAATTATGTTCAGTTTTTATCAATACCTCTCCTTTTTTTGCTGTCCACAAACATATTTCCCCACTTTTAACTGATGTCAAAATAGATCTGAAATAAAATGTCTAGTACACTGTCTAGTATTCATAATTCATTCTTGTATATTTAAGACTATCTTAAGTATAGTCTTAAGATGTCATAAGCCAATCACAAAGCCATATTAACATCTTAAGACATTGCTTCAAACAATCTTGAAATAAAAACCAATATATATGAATATCAGCGAAAGAGCATTTTAAGATATTACTTATGAGAGTTTTAAAATAGAACGGATTATGAATACCAGTAACAGATCGCTATATTTGAAAATATCACCCGAGTGATACAATATATTGTATCATCTATAATATGAAGAGTAAGCTTGGTGTAAGAAATAAGAATAAGAAATTAACACAAGTCACAATCAATATAAGAAGAATATTCGACTGTGTGATTGATCAATTCTTACAAACATAACTATTTACAACAATGCTTACGCAATTATAGAAGATTTTAGGTAATATTGGTATGTGCTAACATATGGAATGCATTGTTTTACGTCGAGATAATTTTACCTGCCATATCGTGATATTCCACTGATTTTATCTGTGCCTATGTTACAAGGAAACCAATCTTTGAGTACTCCACTCTCCGTATCAAAGATCTTTACTCTGTAAGAAATAGATCGTGCAATTATATTACCATATCAAATTATATCATTTATCATAGAAAATATTTTATCACAAAATTACATACATTAATGTTATTATGAAATTATATTAAATACAATTATTTATATAATTAAATAACATACATTACAAAAATTATATTAACTTTATTGAAAAATTATATTTTATTGCGTAAATATCTATTCTCGCAGTTATATAAAAGTAAAAGAAGCTCTCTTTGCTGTAAAAATAATTGTTTATACTTGTTATCTTTATAAGCGCTGCATGCAACCAAAATCTCTCGATCGTCGTCGCCCCATGCTATCCTAGTCACATTATCAGTTTCTGTGATAATGGATACTTTCTGTAAATTTTTTATTTTGTTCTCCTTCTTTGTTTGTCCGATTTTTAATCCTGCAATTTATATTTCACACGTGTGAATTAAATATAAATAGGCAACAGGGGGATTACATAACCTATAAATATTTTTGTACGGAATTAATTTACGGGATTACCTTTGATGATGCCAGATGTTGTACCCACGAAAATATCGAACTTTGTATGACTCATGTTTAACGAATCGCTAAATCTTTTTTCCTTACCGTACGACACAAATTTACACGGACACGTGTATTACGCGAGTCGTGTCTCTCGAAGATTTAAAAAACACGTGGAAACACTGGAAACTTCGGAACCACGAAGTCACTGCGCCTGTGAAGTACGCACATCCATGGTGTAAACTTATTACACCATGCGCACATCCATATGCGGCACAGATGTCTATACTAGAACTCTGTTGATATGCGCACATCATTTCGTCCCAAAGGACAAATCTTCCAGCTTCCTCTTCGTTGTTTCTCCTTGATGTAAAAATACGAATTCACAAGTCAAAACACGAATGACGAGTGTCAAAACACGTAAACTCAAAGGCGTCCAAAGAAGAAATGAGAATGAGAGAAATGTAATTTCGAGTGAATCGTATACAGTTCGTTGAAAAACGCGCGAAAGCGCATACGCGTCAAATATAGCTTCAGTTATCAGTAAAGTATCTATAAACTGTAAATTTCTCCTTTTTTCTTCAACGTGAAAAGAAAAAAAAAGAGAGATAAATATCACAAGAATTTTAGTTAAAAAGACCTATTATTAATTGCACGTTAATTAATTAATATATAAAAATTTTGAGTCTTACGGACGAGTTTTTTAATTCATCGATTGATCAATCAATTAAAAAACCTTATATATATATGTAATTTACAATTATTTTTACAGCAGAAGCTTTCTTTATACATCCCTTAAAAATAGTTATTATTCTCATATAAAATAATATCATTATAGATAATTTTACGATAAAGTTATTGATTCGCTTAATTATATGTATAAACAATTTAATTTAATTTGATTATATACGATAAAATAATATATCATATAATACAATATGATTTTTTTTTATTTTTTCAAATTCTATTTAAATTAAATTAAAAAAATTTTAAGTTCACTCTATAATCAAAGTACAAACAAACACGCACGCACGCACGCACAACGGTGGTAATATCAAGTAAATTTTAAGAATGTCAAACATTCCAATAATTATTTTATTTTAAAATTGTTACACACATTTACAACAAGCGTTAACTCCTACCCGCAGTGAGAATGACAACCCTACTTTAAAAAATCGATAGAAACGGATAGAATACGAAAAGAAATATCGCTAATTTTAATGTATCACATATGACTTGATACGACTTTCAGTATAATATAAAAGACCGAAAACTTTGCCATTTCTATAGTATTGTATATGTCTTTTCATTTCCGTAATTCTTCGTCTATAGTTTTTTATAGGGTTCGATATGAACATCATCCGACGTTAATACATATCGTATTATATGTATATATACCTGAGGAGGTCATGGCGGCCTTTTTCGCGTGACAGGCGAAGCCGCCGTACGCTAGCGGCATCAACATCAATTTTAGAAATTGATGTGAACTACGTATCACATTTTCAAAACTGTCGATAAAATCGTAGTGTCAATACATGGATTAGGCGTTAAGGGGATCCTAAATTACCCTATAGGCCTCTATATTACCGACAAAATCGTATAATTTTTGTATCGTAAATACTTTTTTTGTTATTCACAGATTCGAAAATCCTTTTACAGAATTAAAGTATAATTAAGTATAATTGAATTCAATTTTGAAATTTTTTATCGTTTTCAGCATAGATTCTACCTCACAGATACGTATTAATGCGTATACTTTAATTCTGTAAAAGGATTTTCGAATCTGTGAATAACAAAAAAAGTATTTACGATACAAAAATTATACGATTTTGTCGGTAATATAGAGGCCTATAGGGTAATTTATAGGATCCCCTTAAGGAGATGCTGGAGTGTTCTGTTTTATCATTACTTACTATAATATAGGTTACAGGTGCTTAAACAAATTGGATAGGTTCATTAAAATACTTAAGGATAAAAAAGAAGAAAGAGATAATAGAAATAATATTGTATATAAGATTTCATGTAGTGACTGTGATGTAACCTACGTGGGACAGACCAAAAGGAAATTAAACACTAGAATAAATGAACATATAAATAATAAAAAACTTGATTCATCTAGACATTCACTATTCAGTATTGCAAACCATGCATTACAGTGCAATCATACTTTTGACTGGAAAAATACGAAAATTATATGGATTCTGAATCTAATTATAATAAGAGATTAATATCAGAGACATTACATATAAAAGAACAGTTAAACGGCATTAATTTAAAAAACGATACTGAATCTCTTGATGACATATATATGTTCATTTACTTAAACATATTTCCGAAGGATAAGGGTGAAAGTAAAAACACATTTGAGAATATCTATTTGACATTCTATGTTTCGAAATGTTTCGAAGCGTTATTATTTGTGTGTTACCATTCGTATAGTTAAGACATGTAATTTCACCTGGTTTTGACCTGGGAGGTTTATTATTTATTAATTTTTTAATTTTATTTGAGCGGATATTGATTCAATTTAATTCTAACATTGTGTTATATAATAGCAATACATCTATAACGTAAACATGCGATCAATAAATAAATATATACAATGTATCAGAATTTAATTTCTGCCTTTATAAAAATGTTTTTGTAATTATCATAATTATATTTAATTTACAGCTTTATATAATATTATTATAACTAAAAATAAAGGTTATTTTTATTTGTGACTTTTAAATTAATTAACACATATATACTATATACGACATTAAACAGAATGAGAAATGCGAATTCAAATTTACAATAATTTAATTATTATTAAAAATAATGGAAAAATATATATGTATATATAAAATTAGACTCCTTATAATTAAATAACAATGATAATTTAGGCGGCTGTTTAGGAGTCAACGCAGAAGGACAAGCGCAACAATTAAATTCTGAAGTATATATACTTTACTATAATTTAGAAATACAAATGTATTTGAACGTTTCGGCCATTGGTTTTGGCCATCTTCAGCAAACGTGTACAGTATAAATTTCTAGCTACGTTGAATATCGTTCGTCAGTTGTGTTAATTATTATTATTATTTGATTAATTAAATTAATTTTTGTAGAAGGTATTTATGTAATTTAATTACCGTTTAAAGATTTTTTTTAAATGTAACATTGAGAATGACACGATCGGAGTCGAAACGTATATGTATATTATTTATTTATTTATTATATTAAATTTCTTTGTTACTTTTATTTACATATGATTATTATTAATTTTTAAATTTAAATTGACTGTTATAACTGGCTATTTGCCCTTATTCTATTATTATACTTTATTTTATACATTATACTTAGTCTTATAATTTATTATAATTAACATATAATTTGTCCTAATACTCTGAAGAATATAATATAATAAAATAATAATTAATAAGGCTCTATATGTATAAAACAATGTAAATAGAAAGAGGGCAAAGAGCCAAGTAAATTAACGAACTATTTAATTCAAATAATCATACATAACAAACAAACGTTTCGACTTCGATTGGGTCATTTTCAATTTAACAAATTAAAAATTATAAATTGAAATATACTTTGAGAGAATAATATACTTTGAGAGAATATCTACTCATTAAGAAAATTTTTACCTTTATTTTCTTGTTTTCCTTCTTCTTTTCTCCTTTTCCTTCTTCTTTTTCTTGATCTTCTTTCTTTTCATTCTTCTATTGGCACTGCACTATTCACACTCACACGAGCACTCTTATTACAGGCAATCACGAGTCCCTTATTTCAGGTGGCTGATTGTGTATATCTTGAAATGAGGTAAAAATTACAAAAGTGAGCAGATTTACTAGATATTAATAATTTCATTGATCAATATCTAATAAATTTGCTTACTTTTGTAATTTTCACATTGTTTCAGGAATCTGCTAGACTGCTAGTCCTCTCTTAATTCTCTATCCGCGATGTTCTGACATGCGCAAACCACTCGATTTCAATGGACGCGCTACACAACTATCTCCCCTCCCTCCAAGCCACCTATTCTTACTGTCGAATGCTAATGTAGATACTATTGTATAACTACTGTTGGTAACGGACATTCTGTAATGTGTGGAAACATTAATTCGCTTGGTCGTAGTAGTGGCTTGACTTATCGATGCTGAGTCGGTAACGCTCAAAATCGCGCGCGCTTGAAATAAGAAGAGTCACTGTTAAACTGTAGAAATTTATTGCGTTTTTCCTGCTACAAATAAAATTATGTATTCTTGCAGAAATGCTTGAATTAAATTCATGTATTTATTCAGGTCATTCTGCAGTTTGTCAGTGGATACGTTCAACCAGAGAGAAAGTATGTGCGAATCTAGTTTTTCAACAAATTATTATAGTATGTATATCGAAGTATATCGGATATACGAGTTGCAATCAGACGACGTTCCGAGTATTGCATTTTGTAGTAAAAGAACTGGCCGAAACATTTGGAAGTTAATATCAAATGCATGATACATTCATAGACGGCAGATCGAATTCTATAAAGCGAGTTGACAGCTATTGGAGCTAAAGGTCTATTAAGTTTTTGGAAAATAATCGTATCGAATTTTCCGGATACGATAATATATAGACGTATTGACGTATATATGTATACGTCTAATCGGAAGTCTCGTATTATAGTCCCGATATAGAGCGACAGAGAACCTGTCGGAAATACCGTGTATATAGAGCCCTATACGCGAGATTCGTTTCTCGGAATATGCGCATTGAGTATATAGATCCATATCTACATTACATTTTGGGGTTTCGTGTAAATCATATAAAAATTATGATCTCCTGAAATGACGAATATGACTTTTAATAACAGATATACGATTGAAATATTCAGGAAACGTTCCAGTACTTATCCTGAAAATACGGGACAAAAACACGATAGAAGCGATAAGGTATATAACGATAGACCTTAAATCTTTATCGTATTCAATCGGGTTCTATCGTTTTTTTAAAGCAGGGAATGGAACCGACGTCTAATCGATGTCAATTCAACGTCAAGTTGATGATTCGATGTCGAATCATCAATTCGATATCGATTTCATTATCATTTCTCACTGAGTAGGGCCTTCACATATATTTATTATTTTTTGTATTATTAAAAGAAGTCAATATATTCACTAGAATTTTATAAATTTAATTTTATTATTGTCAAAGAATTTTTATTATGTACAGAAAAATCACGCTTTTATACTACATTAG